TTTCAGGATGGAAGCAAGGGTGGAGTTTTTTAAGTCGATCGGGTTGGTCTGGTTAGTTTTGATCAGGGATTCTCTTATGATAAGTAGTGTCTGATGAGGGTTGTACCCGTCGGGATGTATGGGGGGCTGAATCATAAATAGATGGAACTTGGGAAGGAGGATTAATGTGAGCAGAAGGGTGGGAGTACACTGGAGTTGGATGTACAGACGGTAATTTGACTCGTAGAGGTAACTGATAAGGAGGCATTTGCTGATGTGGAGATTTTGACTGAATTTGGGAGGAAAAGCATATCGCAGAAAGAGATTATGACAGGTATCTTCATTGATATTGAAGGTGCCTTTGATCGTACCCCATAAGATACAATAGCTAGAGCAATGGAAAGTAGAAGGATCGGACATGTTGCTTTGGAATGGATTAATTCAGTTCTGAGAGGAAGAGTCCTTAAATCTGAGTTGGGACTATCTGTACTGTGGTTTAAACCTGTTGAAGGGTGTCCAAAGGGGAGTATACTGTCTCCCCTTTTGTGGTGTTTGGTCATCAAATCCCTGATTGTTAAATTGAATGCGACGGGTTTTATTATCAGGGATACGCTGACGATATTCCAATGTTGATAGGGAGCAAGTTTCCAGATAAGATCTCTGAACTGCTCGAAAATACTATGAGACTTCTGAAGGAGTGGTGCCAGGAAAATGGCCTTGGCATAAACCCGCATAAGATAAATCTCTGTATCATCACTAAAGAAGAAATGTTAACATTAGACCACCATCATTAAATAGAGCAACATTAAATATTTGTAGTGAAGTAAAACACCTTGGGATTACTATAGATAGTAAGTTAAACTGGCTAAATCATATTGAAAAGATTAGTGGTAAGGCTATATGCTGTTTATGGGCGTGCAGAAGAATTGTTAGCAAATCTTGGGGGCTGAAACCCAGCATGGCCATATGGTTATACAGAACTGTGATTAGACCCTTTATCCTCTATGCAACTGTAGTTTGGTGGCATATGGCAGCTGTAAGCAGGCCTAGAATGCTGCTTGGCAAGCTTCAAAGGCTTGCATGCCTTATGATGACGGGAGCTATGAGCACTACTCCCACTACTGCAATGGAGGTGGAAGCACATGCTCACAGAATTGCCTATAGATTGAATAAATTGGGAATGAGATCGAAATTCCTGACGTGTCAGGGCCATGTGATCGTCTTTAATAGGATTGATAGCAATGAGGTATTCACGATGAACTCAGACCTTCAAGTTGATAATTATAGAGATATGCTATATAATTTGAACATAAATAGGAGTAAAACACATAGAGCATGTAATGGAGTTAACTGTTATACCGACGGCTCCATAATGGAGCAGGGATTAGGGGCTAGCATATAGAGAAAGGATAAACCTAATGAAGGAATGTTCTAGGTATCTCTAGGTAGATATACGTCCGTCTTTCAAGCCGAGATTTTATCCATCGATTTCTATGCCCAATCACTTATTAAGGAGGGCATTGTGAATTGATTGATAATATATGGATAGCCAAGCGGCAATAGGGGCCCTGAATAGTTATTAAGCAAGTCGCTCAAAGGTGGAGGATGAATGTAAAGGCAATCTTAACCTTCTTTGTAGTACTAAAAGGTGAGAGCAGAATGGGTACCTGGGCACTCAGGAATTCTAGGAAATGAGAAAGCCGATTGCCTTGCTAGGAAAGGCTCTGCACAAGTGCCGGTTGCACCAAAGCCCATCTGTGTGATAAGCCTTGGCTTTGCCAAAAGGCATATTAAGGCAATCATTGGCAATAAATTTATGCTACACTGGGTACAGACTAGGAAATAAATCCATTCTAAGTTATTCCTAGTAGGGCCCCTAGTAGCAAACGAACACCAATTTAATGTTGCTAATTGTTAATAAAAAGTCACTCACCTCACTGATTGTAAAGTAAAAATGTTATACTGTTTATAAACTCATTGTTTACAAAGTCTGAGAATAGAATTTGAGATAATAACCAGATTCCACCCAGAACCTTATCAATACATGTTTAAGAACACGTTTGAAAGGACGTAAAAATTTCAGCGTACTATGATTCCAAATACACTGAATAAAACATATTAGTATTGTAACACAGATAAAAATTTATATAATTCATTTGATTTCTTTGACATAATCATTTTAACACCACTATTTAAACTCATTACACCAATTTCATGTTTTGACAATAACTTGGAAGTTTCTCAAATGCAAATAAAATTTAAAATCCAAGAGTTCCATTACAACATGAAAAAACTTCTACTTTGGACAATTGGTATTTGTAAATTCTTATAGAAAATATTCAATAATGTTAACTGTTTAAGGTTTTTTTAACATTTAAAAATGTTGAATCCCACATATTTATAGAATTGTCTTTTAGTAGTAATTCATACTGCGACAATCCTAGGACATTGACCTAACAATGCATTAAATAGAATAAAATTTAAAAGTAACTGAAATGATTTTTATTATTTATTTAATATAAAAGTTTAATTACGCAAACTCAAAATGGACCTAAATTAACACTAAGGTTATAATTGGAAGGTTCTAAACGGAAAACCTTAAATCTTTAAAATATTGGTAAACAACTAACCATTAATGTTTCACCAATTCAGGCATCAGCAGGATGGGATCATGAAAAATTTTTAATCCAAGTTTTCAATAGAAATACACGTTTTGAGGTGAGGTGTCTTGAGTCCAAATAACCAAGTTTTGCAAAATGGTAGCTGTGTGTGCATGGATGAACAACCTAGCTCAAAAATTAAAAATCATACGAAATTGAAATAATGTATTTAAAGTAATTACATGCCTGGGATTTACAGAATTTTTTCCCTTAAATCAACTAACCAGAAGTGGAATTTTATATCATCAATTTTACAATTTTCTCAAAAACAGCTTCAATAAATTTTATTAAATTCATTATATCAGTGTAGAATTAAGTCCTCTCTAATATTAGGGATGTATTATTGCCATTGAAATAACATAACAAGGGTTAAGCCCCCAAAACTTCTTTCTCTAAAGTATCTTTGAGTTTGTTTATTTGAAATAATTAACCATTTCACACTGTAATCTGTAATAAAAAATGGTTAAATATAACCTATGAAAAAATTTGATAACTAACTAAAGTGACAGATATTTCTAAATAAACAAAATAAAACTAAAACTAAAAACTAAAGGAGAAATAATGGATAGTAATGTGGAACCGAGAAGTACCAAAAAAACACAAGTGTAAACTCGAGCTTGACCTAAAGATTAGAATAGGCCTCTAAATATAACAGGTGTGTAACATGAAACATAATAGATGAGGAATGTGGGGATTCGATAATGCTATAACATATAACAGTTTTCATCAACACTAGCGCTGGTATTATTTACTATTAATACCAATTGATACTGTATAGATATAAAAAGAGTTACAGTAATATAAAAATCAAAATTTGTTTATATATTAGTGCTTCATATAAAAATGCCCACACTGAAATATAAAAAAATATATCGGCCTTCTTTAACATTGGCACTCTTGTCAGACTAAACAAATTTTGTAGCACTTAATTATATATTATAAATAATTAAAATATACAGTTACATAAAGAAATGGTTACTGATGAAAAACGCAAATCTTTTATAGATCAGACAGGTGGGGAAAATATATGGTAATTAATTTGTAACGGCCACTCCAGAACAGTGCATAGGTCACACGGCCGCTACCTGGCAACACCACAGGCTCACACCACATTTTACCAACAAGTACTATTTTTATTACATATGATTATAATGAATAAACTGGACAGATATGTGTATACATTGTAGATACTTTTTAATAATAAAAATGTTTGATAATAAGGTATACTTATCCAAGCTTAAAACAAACAGTAACTGATAAGACTCTTGCTAGCCATTTTTGTCATCACATACATCATGTAATATTCTCATAGTTAAAAGGAGAATTTACTCCCCTCTTCTTTGAGGAGAGAGAAAGAATTCATTGCTTAGTAAGAGTGGTCAGCATATTTTATATACTTTTGGTCATTTGCACATGTCAATCTGACTTTTTATTTAGCCAATGTTCCTATACCCTATACACTTACAATATACAATATACAAGGTCTGTATGGACAAGCGGTAAAATATTGTGGGTGCAATCTATAACCCCCAAATCCACAAGGGAGGAAAAAAAAATATTAAATTAAAATTTTTGTACAGAATCCTTATGTTTAAGCCTCTTTCAGAAACTGAGGATGAAACTATAGAATAACAAAACTTTGTAATGTTATTAATAATATAAATAGCCAACTTTTAAATACTATTAAAAAGTTGTCCACAGAAAAAAATATTTTTTGTTACACCCTACTGTGTTTCTATTCATCTAAACTCACTTACAAAAAGGATGTTTCATTCTTTTAACAGCCAAAATTTGCAATCCCACAGTGAAATAGAAGGTACTTATTAAAACTAATGACCACATTCCCAAATTTTGCAACATTTAACTTGAATTACATACTGATTTCATATTTCTCATTTAACAAAAGAGAAGTCCTTAAGTATTCCCGAATTTCCTGAATGATGGTGGTCACACTAGTCAAAGAACAGAAAAATACACTTAAACTACACTAAATTTGAATTGAACCAAAAAATAGTTGAATAAATAAAATAAAAAAATTAAGTAATCTATCCATAATGCTTAGTTAGGGTATGATGCCTCTCATTAACACAACATTCATACCCTATAAAATAAAGCATACCATATTATATTTTAGAAATAACCAATAAACAAAATTATAGCTCTGAAAACTATACTTTTATTGTTAAAAAATTATTTTTAATATTTCAAATTTATGACCAAAATAATGGAAGGTGAATTTGAAGTAGGTAAAAGTTTATGGTAGAAATTTAATTAATCTACTCTACAATAATTAAAATAATGTTAAGACGAAAAAGAACAAATAAATAAAAATAAAATAATAATTAAAATCTTAAAACATACCTTTTCTCTGTATTATAACTCTTAGAAGAGGTTTAGCATTTTGTAATGCCCTAGATAAATTTTCCTTATTGTTGATAGGGAGTAAATCTCCATCCCTCGGATCCGTATAAGATATCAAAAATGGGATTTCAGTCAAACCATGGAGCTTCTCTAACAGGGATTTAAAATCTTCATAGGTTGTATTAGAGTTGCGAGGAATAGAAAAACGACGGAATTCAGCATCAAACTGTAATATAGAGAAAAGAAAAAAAGATGCTTGGTAAAAAATACCAATGTGCTGTTCAAAAAATCATATCACAATATTTAAAAGTAGCATATAAAGAACTTATTGCTAAAAAACTTAGTGTGCTCAATTGTACATAGTATTATATGGAAATACCATATTTGACTAGAGAGGTTGTATAACCAAAGTTTGGGAACCCAAATGATTATAGGGGCATTCAAAACTGTTTCATATAAGAGCATTTAAAACAACATTGCCTAATATCAGATTAGGGATGGATCAGATTTGATAAACTAGATTGTGAGATAGGAGGGTAGCAGAAATTAGATCATGTAAAAAGTCATTCCTTGCCTGGTGTAGAGGAAGTAAGAAAGAGTGGGAATTTCCTTCCTATCTCTTATCCCCTCCTACTATTTTGACCTAACTTTTGATGTACCATATGCTCCTTTCCATGTTTTCCCGCATGTACAATCGGTAACTTACTATTTTTTTTTTTTTTTTTTTTTTTTTATCATGAACATTGCAGCATGGATAGTCTTAGAGTTACTTATACTGAGATGGAAGTAATGACAGAACTAGTTTAAGTTTCTAAAACTTAAACTTTTAATAGGATCCATCGTATTTTTTGTATTACAACAAAGATGTAAAAATTCAATCCAATGAAAGCTTACTATCTATTTATAAAAACATACTCTTTCATGAAAAACCTAATATAAAGGAAAATTATAGATAGGAAGAAAAGAATTGTAGTAAGAGAGAAGGAAATATATATAAAAGTGAACAAGTATCCAATTCCTCTATATCATCATGATGGTGGATTGAACTGCTAAGAATATTGGTCTTGCCACTCATTTTGAGGAAAAGAATCTTTATCAAATTTTCACCTGATACTCTTCATGTAGGTTACCTATTTGTGGTATTTTCTCTAGATTCCTGATATATTTTTAATGCTATGGAATATTTCCCTTCTAAGGCCTCATTTGATCCTAAGTTAATATCTTTCCTTTTCATTTATACTCTTTATTCAATAATATTATAACAGCCAGTTTCTTCAACATTTAGTGGACCGTACTTTGTAGTTTTTTATCGTACCCTTTCAACCTTCCTACCATATCAGTTTGTAATCAAGTATGGTTGCATCCATTCTGTTCCACACAGCCGCTATATGGAAAGGGGCCCTCAATACTATGGTATTATTAGAACAATGCTATCCGTCTGCTGTCGGAGTGCCTTACTAGTGATAAATGCATCTATCAAAATTTCATATGAAGCAGCATGTGTGGTGGCCAGGATTCCACCGATATAGCTGATTCTAGAAAAGAGAATGCGCTCATACAACAGTATATCACATTTACAGGGGCGAAGAAAGAAAAGAGACGTGGGAATGGCAACAATGCTGAGATTTGGCATCGAATGAGATGTGGAAATATGGCCTAGTGCCCCATATCCAATCCGAAGTACAAAGAAGCATGTGGAGGTCGACTACTACCTCACCCAGCTCCTTAACGGGACATGGGTGCTTTCGAACCTACCAATATAGGTTTAATCTGTACAATAAAGCAGGTTGCATAGTGAGCAAATTGATAAAGGAGAGCACAGAACATGTGTTTTTGTTCTGTCTCCACTTTCAGGAAGACAGAGAAGAGTTTAAAGAAGTCTGCAGATTAGAACCAATGGCCAATAACATTGTCAGACTGATGCTGCTCTTCCAGGAATGCTGGATAGCAGGAAAATGCCTAGCAGCGCAAGGAAAGGCGAGCCAGGAGGTAGCCTGAAGAAATGAGGCGACACACACACCTACTCACCCTCCATGAACTGACGCCTAAGTTAATCTCGTGGAGGGTGGGAAAAAGGAATAGGAAGGTTCTTTTACTGTGTAAAAATCCCACACAGATATGTACGGGACTATTCGTGACTTCAAGATTTCCACCTACCCTGGTAAAATTATTATCCTTTATTGTTCGCTCTGTTAATTTTTGGAATTCCCTTCCTATCAAAATCCGACATTCTTTATCCCTATCTACATTCAAAACCCTCCTATTCCAATTCCTGTTCCAAAAACAGTCAGATACCAGCTAACCTTTTATGTAAAATTACATATTTTTTATTTTATATTTTTTTTTTCAACAGAAAAACAGATTTTACTGTTAAGAAGAATTTACATTTTTTTTTTTTTTGTATTTTTTCTAAAATGGTTTATTTATATTTTACCATTGTACATAGTTTTAAGTATCTTAGTATGGTTTCGAGGGTTTTGTATATAGATTATTTTATTTTATTTTGTATATATTATGTATAACTAATATTTTTTTTTGTTTTTTTACTGATTTATCTTTATCTTTACTTTTTATGTTTGTTTTTATCTGGCCAGACGTAAAATTTTAATTTCTGTACTTTTTTGTTATTCTGAAGGGACTTCGTCCCAGAATAAAATTATTTTCTATTCTATTCTATTCTAAAAAAAAATAAATAAAACACACAGGAGCCAATTTTGTGAGACTTGGTTATTCGAATTCTTTCATGATTGTAATAGTTGCTTTTTTCATATTTCATTCATTATTTATTCAAATTCCATTTATTATTTATTTAATACCATTAAAAGTAAAAATAGTAATTGATCGATCATCATCACCATTTGATGGTACTATGTGTACATGTGATGGCAGGACATTGGCCTTTTCAACAATCATCTTTCATTTAGACCCATGGCTGCCCTTCTCCAACAAATGTAGAGAATTTAACTAACTATATTTTTTCAGCCTTTTTCCAGGAGTTATTTTCCTGAATTTTCTGATGTACCAATAGGTACAGAAATACTGAATTGCCTGTTCTTCTGAAGACGGTAAATCCCATATTCTAAGAAGATCAGTAATATGATGAAAATAAATGGGAAAAAATGAAAATAAACACAAAGAGGCCACAAACTAAAAAAAAAATTTAAAAAAAAACACAAACGGGCCAAAAACTAAAAATAATGAAAAATAACCACAAACGGGCCAAAAGTAAACAATTTAATAAGTGAAGGTAATAAGGGAATAACTGAAAACTAAACAATGCAATAACTCAAAAGTTTGGCGGGATAAGAAGAGGGAGGTTATGTGACGTGACGTTAGATAAGATAGATAAGAAAGTGAGGTTTCAAAACGGACCTCTAGACACAAAGTACCGACTTTATGAGCCAAAGAACACCCATTGCTCACCAAAAGTACAAAGAAAAGAGAAATGAAATCGTGGGCAGATCTGGGGCACAAACTTGAAGAAAACGCAAAAGAAAACATAAAACTATTCTTCAAACCAATCAAAGAAATGTGCAAGGAGAGACCCACTACATTGAAGGGAATTAGGAGCAGAGAGGGGAACATTGTCTAGCGGGATGATGAGATAATGGAGAGGTGGAGAGAGTATTTTAAAGAGCTGCTAGAAGGAACAGATTGGAACCTAAACAAGATCCAGGTTGTAGAGGAGGATTCCTTAGAAGAGGACTACATTGATGAAGAAGAATTGCTGGAATCCATCGCCAAGATAAAACCCTGCAAGTCGGAGGGGACTGGACCGAATCACTCCGGAAATGATGAGGTTTATGGGAAGTAAAGGCCAGGAAATGTTTCTCCATCTTGTGAACCTGGTCTGGAAACAGAAGAAGATCCCGAAGGACTGGGAAGTCGCAGTCATATTGCCAATATATATGAAGGGAGACAACAGGGACTGCAACAATCATCAAGGTATTTCGCTCCTTAGTGTTCCCAGTAAAATATACTCAAAAATCCTAGAGGCAAGGGTCAGAAGCATCGTATAATCCAAGATTGGAGAGGAGCAGTATGGATTCAGGAGTCAAAGAAGCACACAGGATCTAGTTTTCACTATGCGACAAATCACAGAGAAGATTGTCGAGAGGGGAAAGGAACTCTCAGTGTGCTTTGTAGATCTCTGCAAAGCCTTTGACCGGATTAGGAAAAAGGATATAATTGAGGCTCTAGAGGAAAAAGGTATAAATAATGGACTTATAAGGGCCGTAAGAAGTTTATACGGAAATACGAGGAATCTTGTTAGAACAAGAAACCATACATCTCGAGAGTTCAAAACAACACTGGGCATACGACAGGGTTGTAGCCTGAGCCCACTTCTTTTCGTACTGGTTCTTGATCTGGCGCTGGGAAAAGCAAAACAGAAGATGCGAAGTTTTCAGTTAGGTCACAGAGATATGCAGCCTACTGTATACTCTCTGCTGGAGTTTGCTGATGACCTCGTCATATTGGCCCAGAATGACCGTGACCTCCAGAACAATATTAATATCCTAAAGGAAGATTTAAGAAAAATCAATATGAAAATTAACCCTGAGAAGACGAAATGCATGCGCATTGGAAGAAAACCTCACAGGGTTATGAGGGTATTGAGGGTCGACGGTGAGATTTTAGAGCAGGTGGACAGTTTTAAATACTTAGGTGCCCAACTCAACGAAAATGGATATATTGACGAGGAGGTAAGGCAGAGAATAGGAGCTGCTGGAAGAATGTTCGGATCGGTTAGGAAAGGCTTTCTGAACCGAAAAGAGGTGACCAAGGAAACGAAGATGACGGTCTACAGATCAGTATTCCTTTCCTATACTGACGTATTCTTCCGAATCCTGGACACTTACTTCGAAATACAGGAGCCAGATCCAGGCTCTAGAGATGCGATCACTGCGAAAAGTGGAGGAAAAGACTAGACGAGACAGAATTCGCAATACTACAATCCGTGCCAATCTCGACGCCAAAGCGGTCGAAACCACTATAGAAGAACACAAGTTGAGATGGTTTGGACACCTTCTCCGTATGGACCGGAACAGAGTCGCACGGAAGACATATGAGACTCGCGTGCAGGGTAGGAGACCAAGAGGAAGAACCAGAATCTCCTGGGAAGAAAGCGTGTGAGATGCATTCCAGAAACGAGGTTTGGAATGGAACAGGAGACGAGAGCTGGTACTGGAAAGGTCCAGCTGGTCCAAGCTCTACAAGAAGCAACCTCACACTGCATAGGCGGTAAAGAGGGATATGACTATGATGATGATGATGATGAATTTCATTTAATTTCCTATGTGATTATGTGATTTACGTTAAATATTAGTAGTTTTCAAAAACTATTATTTATAATTTTTGGCCACTCTCCTTTATCTTCTACAACTTTCTATATTAGATATTGGTTTTTCCAAAATTCTCCGCTTTCCAACGATATATTATAAATATACCTTTTGACTAGCATTTCCGGAGATTCATTTTCGACCTGGATAAGCATTATTATTTTTTTCACCTTTATTCAATTATCAAATTCTTTCAAAAGTTATATTTAGCATTTTTTCGTAACTCTTAATAATGAGAGATAGTTAATTATTTAAAATAAACAATATTAAAGGTACTTTAGAGGAAGACGCATATGAACATTGGGCATTTAAGCCCTGTAAAGTGACATCAACGGGGATAAGACCTAAATGATATTAAAGAACACTTAATTATACAATGATACACTGAGTTTAATCAAAATCTTTAGAGCTGTTTTTGATAAAAATGTGTTTCACCGTTCAAATAAAGTGGCACTTCTGGTTAGCCGATTTTAAGAAAAAGGTTGCTGTCACATCTAAGGCATATACCTATCTTAAATACATAATATCAGTTTTTGAGCTAGACTGCTAACATACACACACACACACCATTTTCCACAACTTGGTTATTTGGACTCAGGGTACCCCAAAACGTGTATTTCTGTTGAAAACAAAAATTTTTACGATCACAATACTTACTCTTACTATACATTACACAAATACATAAGAGAAAGTAAAAATCATTACGTTATCACATTAATAATATTATCATTCAATGATGTTCAATGGCTTGTTATGAATGAGGAAAACAAATAGTTTTTGTTTATAAGCTAAGGCTATAGAAATTAATAGTAGATACCAGTTAAAAATCACAAGATAAAGAGCTACATAATAAAAAAGTAAATCAAAGTAGAAGATTGAAAAGTATAGTTAAACAGCTAGATTCATTTAGTGACTATTCATTTCTTGTAAGTGCCTAATAAGACTGCGGTTAATAAAAACTTCAAGTGATTAATTTTATTAAATGATTTCCTAGATCTGGGCTTCTTAAACTAATACTGTCCAAGTATCACCTCTTGAACAATTAATTTTCCAAAACCAAATTGAAACTCCAAGCATTTTAAATCATTATGCTAATATAAGATACTATTTGAACAAATTTTGCTTCAATTTGACAGGCAGGCACAAGAAACGATGATCACACAGAAAATGGAATTCTGAGAATAATAGAGTATTGACTTCTATTAATTTATATAACGATTATTGACTTATAAACTTTCAACAAGTTCTTTCCAGTTTCAATCTTATCTTGGCCTTAATAAATCAATCGGGACCTTAATAAGCTGTAATTACAATGCCAGTTTTGATTTCTGTGCGCTCAAAAGTGATAAACAAATCTCCAACAGATACTTTTCGGTTAAAGCCTTATCAAGCGGTTTGGTCACCTTCTACTTTCGGACACTCAGCCATTCTTGGAACTGCATTTGTCCTGTGATTGTGAGACCATTACTTGTGTCAAACAATCACACTGAAGCAACATCAGTACAGTAGCACCACAAGTTAAGTAAAAATAAATACAAAAGGCTTGACCATGTAGGGTTTTATAAAACTGACAATCTAAAGAATACGAAAAAAGAGTCAAAATTATTATGCGAACTCAAAATGTTTTTAACCCCCAAAATATTTTAAGAACCCTTGTTCAATTTTTTTTGTATACTTAATAAATTTAAATACAGGCAGAATGTTTAACATTACATCCATGCATACAATTCTGGTAGGGTAAGTAAATCTTGAGAAATATTGTTTACAAAACAAATCCTTAAATGAAATCACCTACATTTAACTATTTCAACCAAAAATTCAGTTTTTGGAAGCACTAACCTTGCTTTTAACCTCTACAAATCCACTTTCTACCCTATTTTCTTTTTTTGAATGCCTTGACATTGCTAAAATCACAGCTTTACTTCATTAAAAAATAAAATAAAAGAAAAAGAAAATATTGTTTACAATAGAGGGTAGGGAAAGGGTGTATAATAATAAGGCGTTAGTGAACGATCTAATCAATTTGAACGAAAAGTTTTCTTGTGTTGTTTGTTAGACTGAGATACAAATAAGAGAAACCATAGTGACATAACCTGAATAGATTCTAACTTATTATAGAGTAGAAGCTGGCGATGGTTTCATTCAAGAAAAGAACTGATAGCCCCGGAGCTAGGGCTCAAAAATCGACCTGATCGCAGGCGAATGTTTGATTTTAAATTACGAAATTGTATGTAATTCTAAGTAAATAGAAACTTGTCTGCCGTTCCAGAGTCGCTGCTTTCAAAAATAGCGGCTGATTTAAAGAATATTAGGCCAGTAATTTGAAGATAGAAGCGGGAAATCCATTATAAACAATGTGAGAAAAGATTTTATTATTTTAATTTGTATATATGGGTTTAAATATGTAAAAAACAAAATTGCTAACGCAGGCCATCAATTGAAAACTTTTGACATCCAAAAAAGTCAGATTTTTTCGATATTATTTTTCACCTATAACTCCTAAACTATGCATCAAAGCGAAAAATGTGTTCTTTAATAAATTAGAGAATGTTAAATTGAAGATATTAAAGTGCGTCAAACAAGTACATAAACTTTATAATTTGGTTACATGGTAAGGTATAAAACCACGGTAAACCAACTCTAATTTTTACCGAATTTGTCAAAAACTGAGACAAATTACTATAAATGGCCCTGTAACTTGGAAATGAGTTCCCTAAGAGGAAACCCCCATGGAATCGAAGTTGTAGAGCATCAAATTTTGCATAAAGTGATTACCGACTATTTTAATTTAGGTTATTTACTTCAAACAAAATCGGTAATCTCCTCATGGTTAGAAATTGGTAATGAAGGTAAAAGTGATTTTAAATATTTCAAGGGTATGGGAGTCTATTCTCCTGAGTTATTTTTGTTTAGAGTCTGTTACATGCAGTATAAGCCTCTTTTCCACCTCTCAGCTGTGAAGGATTTTGATAAACAATGTATTGAAAGATACCAAATTTCATATTTTCATATTATAAGCTCTAAAACTTCGATTCTATGGGGTTTTCCTCTTAGGGAACTCATTTCCAAGTTACAGGGCCATTTATAGTAATTTGTCTCAGTTTTTGACAAATTTGGTAAAAATTAGTGTTGGTTGACCGTGGTTTTATACCTTACCATGTAACCAAATCATAAAGTTTATGTACTCCTTTGACGCACAATTTAACATTCTTTAATTTATTAAAAAATATATTATTCGCTTTGATCTATCGTTTAGGAGTTATAGGTGAAAAAAAAAATATCGAAAAAATCTGACTTTTCTGGCTGTAAAAAGTGTTTCCTTGGTGGCTCGCGTCATCAATTTTGTTTTTTACAAAAAAAAAACTTATAAAAAAACTTTCTTCGTCTGCGATGAGGTTAATTGAGTCCTGGCTCCAGGACTATGAAGTTTGAAACCATTTAGCCAGATAGCCTCATCTGAATTTACAACATCGGCCAGATGATTGAAAGCCGTTACTTTATACCATACCAGGACTTGCTATGAAAATTTATCTTTTATTTTTATAAGATCAGACAGAACATAGAATAGAGTAGATTGGACATGCCGGCCTAGTAAAATGGTTTAAAGTGACACCACCCTCTCTTACGAGTCTTCTCTCCATCCGCCCTTTACCACTGGTTAGCAACTACTTTATTTTGACATATTCAATTATAATGCTTAAACAATTAAGTTGACAGTTTAACTTAAAATAAAAAAATTCAAACAAACTTTAAACCCACATAAAACACTAACTCGAAGAAATATAATGATCGAAAAAATCCTAAACCTGTTCAAATTTCAATCATACCTACTTTTAGGCCTTAATCTAGCAAGCTGATCTACTATTCCTATTTTCGTGATCGATTTTAGTTTATATATTTTATTCATTCATATAGATTATCTTTTATTTATTTACTTTTTGAGATATTAGAAGAAGGGCGATCGTCCCTAATCTGAAATTTTTAGAGTTTCAACATATTAGAAAAAAAGAGGAAAGGCCGATAGAAAAAGAAGAAGATCTCATGATAATGTAACACTGCCATTAGCAGAAAGGATGATCGGTTTGCTGAAACCGATCAACTTTAATTTAATTCAGAATGACATACCCCTTTGCACTTTCATAATACCTAAATTAAACGTACTACTCTACAAGTTGAATAAAAAAAATAAGGAACCTGCAAAATATAAAAAACTTTTCCATAAAACAATTAGCTCTCTACCAAAAAACTTACTTATATTCACCGATGGTTTCACAACCTGCAGATATAATTATATATACTCTTAATTATGGCGTTGATAACCAACAGGTTTTACGCCTTGATTATAACAACCAACCAACAAATATATCATAAACAAAACAAAGCCAGCTAATCTCACACCTACATCCAAAGGAGAACAAATGAGTAGAAACAGCACATTTCCCCCATTATATCTAGTAAATAATTGATTAGGTCTTTTTTTTTGGTCAGTTCTTTTTTTTATTTAGGTGAATTTAAGTGTGATGTCAGGAAATAAATGAGGCTATGTTGAAAACTTTACATCACAAATACACAAAACGCCTTTATTACTCTACATAAACATCACACTATCAGGAACAAATGACTACTACTGAGTGGGTAACCTCACTCAAGCCAACCTGCCTTTGTTTACAACAGTTTAGCAGTGCTGCCAGATAGCATGCATTAACTCTACATTAAGTATGAGTTGAAGTTAGGTGGTCCATGTCTTTTTCTGATAAGCCTGAATTTCCGATACTTTGGGTTTGGAACCTTTCAGCCATATTCTAGTATTAATGTTTAACTATTGCCACTTTGTTTTATTAGTCCGTGGTAGACGCATTTTTAACAGATTATTAACATTCGCCTAGAATTTCGATAATGGCTTCATCTTATCGTAAACTACAACTTTTTCATCTACAAAAATTCACAGAAATCGGGCGTTTTCTTCTTATTTTTTTTAAACATTTATTAGATAGATAGATAGAAAGTAAACTTTATTCTGGGACAAGGTCCCGTATGAATACCAGATATGAACAAAAAAATTAAAACTACATGTGGCCAAAAATTACATTAATCAATATTAAAGAATATATACAGTATCTTCAGTGAAATTAAATTAAAACAAGTAAAAATAAAATAAAATTTTGAGAAAAAACGAAATAAAAAAAAACAACATTATTTAAATGAAGATAAAAATAAGCATGGGTTGATTTTTAAAATTAAGACAATAAATTTTATCAATCATTCACCTCAGTCAAAATCTGTTTCACAATATTTATTTTATTGTATAACGTCATTTTGGGATGTGAGAAGGAATTGGTAAAGATGATATTTAAATGAGGACAAGGAAGAGGCATGACGGATTTCAGATGGCAAGGAATTCCAGAAGGCTGTGGATCGGGAAATAAAGGAATATTCAAACGTCTTAGTTCTATGGGAAGGGATATAAAGCTCGGAAACACGGGATCTTGTTTTCTGGGAGTGGACCACGGGTTTAAACTGTAGGAGACTGTAGATGTAAGAAGGGTGTCTAGTGTTGATTGTTTGGAATAGGAAAGATCCGAGGAAATATTGTCTGCGGAAAGAAGGGAAGAGCCACTTTAACTCGTCGTAAAGGTGGGACACATGAGATCGCTTTGATGTACCGAAGACAAATCTTAAGCACGTATTCATGAGTCGCTTCAATCTATCCTCGAGTACCATCGGGATGCCTCCGTACACCACACAGCCGTAGTCAAAGTGGGGGAAAATGAGAGAGGATACAAGGAGCTTGCGGATGGGTTGTGGGAGTAGGTGGCGGGAGCGATGAAATAGCTTAAGGGTACCTATTGACTTACGGGAGATGAGGGCAATATGGGGTTTCCAGGAGAGGTTTTCGTCTATGGTGATTCCTAGGTTTTTAACGGATGAACTGAATGTGACAGGATGATCGTTGATGACTAAAGGAGGAAGGAAGGAGATGGATTTAAGAATAGGACTGGAACCTATAATAATGGCTTGAGTTTTCATCGCATTTAGATTTAAATTATTCAGACTTGCCCAGGCACTGATCCTATCTTAGTCAGCCTGAATATTGGCGAACGCGACTAGTAGCTCAGAAGGATGAAAGGAAAAATATATTTGGGTGTCATCAGCGTATAAATGATGTGAACAGTGGTAGATGGATTTGGAAAGATCATTTATGTAGGAGTTGAAAAGGAGAGGGGAAATGCTCGAACCCTGGACCACTCCAGAGGACAGTGTAAGAAAGGAAGATAGGGGTTGGTTTGGAATGCTGACTGCTTGAGTTCTGTCGGATAGGAAAGACTGTAACCAGAGGATAGAGCTGTTGGAGAAGGATAGGGATTTTAATTTAGTATAGAGTATAGAGTGGTCTAAGGAGTCAAAAGCTTTGGAAAAGTCGAGAAGTATTAATACAGTTAACATTTTTTCGTCCATTGCGGTATGTAAGTCATTGGTAATTTTTAGTAGGGCGGATTGTGTGGAGAAGCCAGGTCGGAAACCAGATTGGAGAGGATCGAGTAGTTTTGAGTTTTCAAGGAATTTAGAGATTTGGGATTGAGCTATTCTTTCCAGAGGTTTAGAAAGGTTAGAAAGAATGGAGATATGGCGGTAGTCTTTAGGAGAGGTAGGATTGGGAATTTTGTTGATAGGTCTGACTAATGCTTTTTTCCAAGCAGTTGGAAAAACTGAGTTCTGGAGGGAAAAATTATAGATGAAAAGGAGAACTGGAACGACTTCGGGAAGGCATAATTTTAATAGTTTGACTGGTATCCCATCAAGTCCGATGGAGTTTGTGTGTGATTTCATTATAGAGGAAATAAGGTCGGTCGGTGAGATGTTGGAGAAATAGAAATTATCACTGTTAAATGAGGGTGATAAGGAAAACTGGTGAGAGGTGGGTGAACTGTTGCTGGTGGTGGAAGATATAAAGTAGGAATTTAGTTCATCGGGTGATACCGGGTAGAACGGTGAGGAAGA